AGCCTTTTCCTGCGCGCGGGCAGGTTTCGCCCTTGGTAACGTATCTGCACGTGGTTTCGCCCTTGGTTTTCCCGCTTTTCATGGCGTCCGAGGATTGTCCCAATTTAGTGGCAATCTCTGCCGGGGCGGCTTTATTGCCTGCATTCCTCCGATTGTCACGGCCTCCGCCTCCGCCGGATCGTGCTTGTCTGGCACGTTGGTTTAAGGTTCCCTCGTGCGCGCCGATGTTCCACTCTTCTTTTTCTCGCAACATCATTTCTTCCATCTGCGCCATCAGCCGTTCGTAAGTCTTGACACATTGTTCCGGTCTGTCTTTTGACAAGTCATATAATTTACATACAAAATCCAGTTTGTTCGGCTTTCTGCATTGCTCAAGAAAGCGCGCGCGAATCGAGGCCCTCATCTCATCGGACGAAGGCTTGGCGCCATAAAGCTGTTGATATACGTCTGTCCACTCATTGTAGAAATGGTGCAGGTCAGCATCGGGCTTGTGCGGGTCTCTCTTTACTTTGAAGACGTCACGCGAAATGCAACGTTGCCCCTACTCCGACCTTACCGACCAACAGTGACAAATCGCCCGCACCATCTCGCGTCCAGTCATGAGTCCCCCCTCGGCCTGGGCGCTGAATTCCATGCGAGTAACCTGTTGAAGGACATGAGTATATCGACTCTTTCGCATCTTGTTGAATTTCTCGATAAGATTCGTTGCGATCATCAGGTCGAGACGCTGGAATCGTCCAGCATCTTTGAGTTGCTCATCCTCCACGGCTGGGTACATAGCCTCGGCAATCCAGCGCTGTGCTGCCTGGCTCTCTGGCGATGACCCAGCGATGGCGCGTATTGCGTGCATTTTCCACGCACGTATGTTCGCAACATCGGGGATGTCCAACAAACCAATTTCCTGGTTGTTACCAACCTGTCTCCACTGATCTAACGGCGTGCTCTCGTCAATTACTATCGAGTCGTGCGGTCCGCCGGGGCCCTGGGGCCCCCTGCGTCCACCCCCCGCCATCAGAGGGGTCTGACCCCCCTGGACTCCCCGGAGGCGATCCTCGCGGTCCTCTACCTCGATCATCTTCGCGCGAAGATGCGATCTCAGTGTTGGGAGCTTCGCTCTTGTCGCCATCTTCTCCGCCCTGCCCTGCATTGCCCGACGACTTAGTCGCCGTCGTTCCCTTAGGACCATCTCCATAGGTTGTGCGGAGATTGGCAAGGGCGTTATTTTCGTTAAGTCCAGTTAGCCTCACCCCTGCAGGGAGTCCACTTTCAGCGGTACTCGGCTTAGCCGGACCCTCAAGGGCAGGTCCTGGGACAGAGCAATGTGGACGCAGCAGCGGCCTCAAGGGGGTTCCTTGCGAAAGCAGCGGAAATCCGGACGACTTCGATGTGAGTCCGGCTTCGCGTTTTGTTTCAGTATACGGATCTGGGTCGGCCATGATAGCCTTAGGCCTCATCTTTCCTATCTCTCTGTTAGCCGCGTTCGATGCAACCTCTTCTTCTCGCATGTTAGCCGCTGACCTGTCACTCCTCTACAGATCGCATCTAGAGCATCTCCTCGTGCTCGCATCGATGTGATCGTCGCAAGCCGAGCCGCCACATCCGACGCAGTTGTCTGTCTTTGGTCGAAAACAAACGGCACAAAACTGGCCCACTGGAAGCGCGATTCCATTCCCATCAGGAGGAGGGCGCATGGCACCTCCTACCAGCATGGTCGATGCTCCCGCATTTGCCACGGTCGTCTGGTCGAATTGCGCAGGGGCAGATGCAATGCTCGACGACTGAGCCGTCGAAAGCTGGTGTATGTTCGACCCGAACGGCTTAGCCGGCGGGCATTTAGTGTCGCTCGACTTTATACGCTGAAGAGACGATCTGGCTCCCTCATGCGATTTAAGCTCTTCTGGACAGAGATTGTTCTGGTTGTTTATCTTCGCAGCTACAGCTTGGGCGTTGTCTGCTTTCAGCCTGGCGGCTTTGAACTCTTCTTGTAATCCCTGTTTTTCTCGTTCCGCCACGGCTGTCGCGATTTGTTATCCTTCTATCTTGGCCGCCGCAACGGCAACGGCAACCGCATGGGCGTCCGCAGATTCTTCGTTCGCCATCATGACGGCCCGTCTCTCCGAAGTCAATAATTCCCTGTATTTGTTCTCCTGCTTCCCTCTCCACTTGCCATTTCACGGCTTCAGTCTGATTGTACAGATGTTCTATCAGCGCTTGTTCACGCTCTCTAGCGGCCATGGCTAGGGCGACCCGCTTCGCCTCGAAACGTTTTCCTGGCTTCGATCACAGATTCAATTCATTCTTCTCTGTCCACTCGAGCCCTCTCAGCCAGAGTCGCCTCGTTAGTCAGAAACTCTCTCTGAATGTTAGCCTCTGCTAGCCTGGCCTGGTCTTGAATAGACCGTAATAAAGGGCATGTGCAGTTGTGTTCGCCCATTGGGTAGCACTCCGCACGTAGCCATTGCATGTTACACTTGTTACAAACGTCCGAGCAATGCCTGCACACTGGGTTCCTACATGCGCCTTCGGGCTTGTTGGCCTTTCCTGGGCAACTGTTCTCCGCCTGAGACGCACGGCCAGGATTTGGATTCCAACATACCTCCATCATAGAAGCTGTACTGTTGCTCCGAGAGGTAGACTTCGCCCCTGACCTTGGTATTTTGGGTCTTCCCCTGCGCGAAGCGTTCGATCTGGGGCGAGCAAAAGTGTTTTCTGGTGGTTTGGGCGCATTTAAGAGCTCCTCATCCTTCTCGTCTTGTTTAATTCGCTGAGAATATATATCTTGTTGTCCGGCCATTTCTTCGTCCTCAACAACAGCCGGAATGGTGGGTTGCCACTCACCTGAGGTGGTGGCGTTACGGAAGAAACCTTCCTTTAATGGCGAGACGTTTAGCTCATAGTCCTCATTCCGTTGCTTCTTGAGGTTAGGCGCAGGGGTTCGCCCAGCGGACTCCCTCTCATGCTTCGTTTGAGTCTCCGCCCTGTCCGCCTGAGGCGTCAGGATACTCGTGTCTTCATCGGATCCATCTGGAGACCAACTTTTGTCACGAGCAGGGATACCCTCATCCATCATCACGGACAACGCTCGGCTCAGGGAAATATCATTGTTGATATTATCAAAATTTTCTGCCATGGAATATATTTCGCGATCTTTGTCCATTGGATCATCGCTATCCTGACCGAATTGTCCGCTCAGTGCTATAGGGGTTGGAGTAGTAACATGCGTACCCACCCAACCTACGGGGATGTTAAGATACGCATTCGGATTCCCTTGGTTTTCTCCTGGCCGGCTGGCTTCGCCAGCGGCAATGGCGGTAGCCTGTGGAGCATTCTGAATGGGACTTATCGACTCCGTCGAGTTGGCACTCAACCTGGAAGAGAATGCACCTCGTCTGGGCCTTGGCGCGACGCCTTCTCGCCCGTGAGGGTCGGGGGTTTGCTCACGATCACCTATCGGAGCCCCTACTGTGGGTATGTCTACCGACATTTCGGTTATCCCATCAGTACTTCTCCCCCTGGTGACCCGATCGGCGATAGTTGAAGGATGGATTTGGTCTTGAATAGGACCGATTGTATCTGTTTCGTGTCCATCATGTTGTTCAACGCGCCAATCTGCGCTTCTCGAGATATTAGACACGATGTTAGTCTTATCGTAGCTCTCTCCCGCAACGACTGAATCGCGGGGCACGACTTGGAGATCTTCTTTTATCTCTAATGGCCCCGCGTCGACTGAGTCGCGCGTTTCGGCTGGTAACCAGTCATTCCTCTGAGAATCGGGGTAAGATGACAAAAGGAATTCAGATCTCATCTTCACTCTGCTCAGGGAGAGCGGAAGCGGGATGAGACATCGATAAGACAGATATCCGTTAAGCTAAACCACTCTATCAGGAATAGGAAGGGAGGAGGAAGGCCGAGGACGGACGACGACGAATCGCCCGCGCGCCCAGCGCGCTCCTTTTCTCTCCTGCCAGCCGAGGTCGGCTGGTTAGAGCAGTTATACAGCATCAGAAACGCAGCATCAGTTCACGCGGACAGTTCATTGCATGCAAACTAAGTTAAGTTCTAATTGAGTATGAGGCGGAAAGGAGCATATTTACTGATTCATCCTCGAACACACGCACCCAAAGAAAAAATCGAATATGGCCGGACTGTTCAATAGGCGCCCAGGGCCGTTCAGTAGACGCCCATGATGGGGGTCGGTGTGGTTGTTTCCTCCCTGAAGGGGGCGGGCTGGTGGAGTGCGCTCCTCCGCCACGCGCCCGTTAGTCCCGCGCGGAAAGGGAGCGCAGACACCGCCACCTCGGCGGGAGCCCCCCCCCAATACACTCAAACACACACACGCACATTCATACACACACAGTGACACCCACACGCACACTCACACACTTAGTTTTTTCCACACACACACACAATCACACACATAGACATCTGATGCAAGCACACACACAAACACAAACACACAAACGCACACACGCAAGCACGCACGCACACATAATTACAATCATACGCACTCACTCACACACATACACACCACCAAAAGAAAAACAAGGTAAGAAACGGCAGTGCAGTCGAAGAGAAAGGGGCGGATAAGGGGGAGGGGGGATCCCCTCCACGGAGAGAGCACGTTTCACGGGCGCTTGCCTTGGGAACGTTCGGCGGCGCATTTCGAACAGGGGGGGTGGCCCCTCGGCGCCGTCTATCAGAACCAGGGGGACTCCCCTCCCCTGTAACCCCCCCCACCCGCCCCCCCCCCTCCTCCCAAGAGGGGGCGGGGTCCAAACCCCATCCCCCCGGCGCCAGCGCCAGCGCCGGCGCTGGCAGCCGCCAGCAGCGCCGACGGACGGCTGGGACGCAGCGACGATGACCAGAGGGGGCCCAGGTGTGGGGGGGGGAAGGTTCCACCCAGCCCCCCTCCCCACCCGCGCCTGCGCCGGCGCCGGCGCTGGCGGCGGCCAGCAGCGCTGACGGTGGGGACGCAGCGACGATTACCAGAGGGCCCAGAGGCCGCAGAAGGTGCACGAACAAACTTTGCTCTCGCATGTCGCACACGCAAGTGGCACACCATGACGTGTTGTTGCGCGCAAGCGGCTTAACGAAGACCATGTCAGAAAACAATGCCTTCAACTGACACCTATAACTCATTTCCTGAACTGTCCCGTATCACTGCCAGCATGATGCCGACCCGGCCGGCAGCCGCAGGCCAGATCAAAAAGGAGCGGAGCTTCCCCCACCTGAGGACTTGCCCGTCCGCCTACTTCTTGCCCAAAGCCTTCACCATGTTCGTGTACATCCCCTTCGCCTGCGGTACGAGTCCGGGTCGCTAAGGTTTCTGGGAAAGCCCAAAAGGCTCATGAAATCATAGGTTATCATGCCGCTAGGCTTTGAAACGAACCTCTCAACGCAATTGTCGCAACAGCCTGGCCCCAGATCACGAAACTGCAATGGAAACGCTTGTCGCGGAGAAATCGCGCGGAACACAGGAAGAACCTGCGCAGAGTGTGTGCAGGCGGCGTATACTATATCACATTGACGGGGCACGATAGGGACTGGGGCCGGCTCAAGGAGGGAAACATTTAGCTGGAATCGGCGATATCTCGTGGCGGATATCGGCGACAGGTCCCCGATAGCAAATCCGGACGTTCATGGGCACGGCGGGCTATCGGGTCCTTGTCGGAGATCGATGGGCGACTGGGGGTCGGTACGTCGCCCCCTGAGCCCATCCCCCCGAGCGTTGCCCCTGAAAGAAAAATGATCCCGCCCTGTCCAGGGCTGGAATTGCCCAACCCAAGCTTAGCCACAGTCTGGGATGCGGGCATGAGCTGGGAGAGCTGGGAGACGCCCAGCAAGCGGACTCGGACGTCCGTAACAGCTCCTGGGAAGATTATGCCGCACGCTTTTGCCTCCTAAGCCAGCTCCAGAAACCTTGGATATGCCAACACTAACCTCTTGGAAAGTTTGCCGTCCCTTCCGTCGGCACAACCGCCCTCGGTGTACTTCCGAAGGCTTCAGCGGCCGTTCCGCCAGCGGCGAGATGCGAAATTCCCGATTCATCAAAAGCGACGCCTTCCGTGCCACGCCCTGTTTTAATAGCCGCTGCACAAACAAAGAATTCTTGGAAGCCTGACAAGCGGGGGGATCACACCGCATCGGCAACGCGTCAGCGATGCATCGGCGACGCCGGGATGGAACACATCGCGCTCTGGATCGCGGCATTCTGGCGATGCACCAGCGAAGTGGCGCGATTCTCTCTGGGTAGACGAAGCACCATCGGTCTAAGCGGTGCCGATACGCCCCAAGAACTCCCAGGAGATCCCCCCAAAGTCCCCAGGAAGCCCAACAGAGGCCCCAACAGGCTCCAAAACACCCATGGAGAAGTCCGAACCTGCCTCCGAAACCCGGCGATAGCCGCCAAAGAAAAACAAGGGGTCGGCGGATGTGGCGTAAGCCTGTAGATCGCCATCGGTCTGAGCGGTGCCGCCTGTCTGTTCACCTCCTTCTGGCCCTCCATGGCCTGCTTCAGCAGGGCCCTGACCTCCCGGTTCTGCGGGTCCACCTTCCGTCGCGCTGGCACGGCGGCGGGGCTCTAGAAAGACACTGCTCGAAGCCCGCACTGGCGAGACACGACTGGAGAACAAGACTGGCGGTCGGTCCCCAAACTCAGAAGGCCCCAGACTACTCTCGAGGGGCAAGAACAAACCTCTGCGACACGCCGAAAAGCTCGGCTCGAGCGCCGAATGCAGCATACAAATATTTGCTTGGAAAACACAAGCGACCGTGCGTCAATTGAAATGCCCCTCCCGGGGTCCACACTATATTTTTCACCAGCGGAAAATGTTGACGCTCAGATTGGTTTGTTGCCCCTCCCGGGCTGCAGAAGCAACGGCTCCCATCTACTAGTTTTATGCAGACTGGCAGTTCATTCAAGTGCGCCCTCGCGATTGAATTGGGAATTGGGCTGTCGCTTGAAACTTCTTCGCGATCCATGCAAGGTCGACGCTTCAGCGACCCGCCCGCTCGACCCAGCCGCGTGGGCACGCAAACCCAACCCGCCCGTTAGATCAACCCGCCCGACCCGCCCGTATAGTCCTGCCTATTGTTTTCCTAACATTTAGCCCGTCCTTGCAAGTCCTTTTCGTGCTCCATCCTTTTCCTACCCGCCTGTCCCCCCCATTCGTCCCATTCCCAAGCATGCTTCCAGAGGGGTACGACGGAAGACGGCGTGGGCGGGGATCGAAGGTTTTGGATATACAATGCATGTGGCATGGCACGCGAGCAAATAAGAACGAACGATATTAAACAAAAGTTCGTTGTTGTTGTTGTAATGTGGGGGCCAGGGGAGCAGTCTGAGGCTCAACGCTTCTCCTTGCAATTGCTCCGGCGTTCGGGCCCCGCGCGAAAAGCGGTAATCTGTTTAGCTTGCCCCTCGCCTTTTCCTATTCGCCGTGGCGGAGGCCCTCCTCTCCTCCGAATCCTCCTCTTCGTCCGTCTCCTCCTCCTTCGAGTCCTCATCATTATTTGTCTCATCCTCCGCGTCCTCCTCCTACTCCTCCTCCTCCAACTCCTCCTCCTCGCGATTTCTTCATCCTCCTCCGCGTCTTTCTTCTTCCCCTTCTTCGCATCTCCGTCCCGCGCGTTCTCTGCCGGCACCTCCCTTTGCCTCCTGGCCGGGGCAAGTCGACTTTCCTCGGCGCTCTCGCCGCCTCTGCCAGCGCGCGCGCGCGCGCGCCCTCCGATGGCCCGATCACGACGCCGTTGGGGCAACGCCACGGGGCAAGCCGTTTGGGCAGCCCCATGGGCCGCCGGGGCGCGGGGGCAAGCCGTTGGGGCAACCCCGCGGGCCTCGAGCTGGGCGCCGCCCCGTTCGGGCGGGAGGCAGCGCGAAGCCTTGCTCAGCCGCGAGCTGTTCCGCCTCAGCCCTGGAGATTGTGGCCCTCTGTCGAATTCCCCGAGCACCTTCCGCAGGGGCGCCGCCGGCCCGCCTTGCAGAAGCTCTCGCGGGGGTGTCCGCAGGAACAACATGTTCCGCGCGCGGGTGGCGCGGGAGAACATATCGCAGCTGTGCGGTCGCCACTGTTCGTCCGACTTGACCGCGCGGCCAGCGTCCTCGTCCGTAGCGCGCAGTCGGCAATGGCGCTTTTGCGCAGTGTCTGTCCCTGGGACAGCGCGACAACGCGCAGTTGAGGTACGATGCGTGCGTCGACGCGCGACCCCGAGCTCTGCCACGTGAGCTCGTGTGTTGGGCGTGAACATCAGCGCGCCCGGGTTTCGGCCTCGCCGTCGTCGTCGGCACCTTCGGGCCCTTGTAGCAGCAGCTCGGCGACTTCATGGTCGATCGGGAACTCATTGACACCATGCACCTGCAGCCAGATTCCCTGCGGTAGGAAGCGGGAACAAAAGAACTGGACCGGCGCGCTTTCCTCATGCTCACAGTCGTCCCCGTGGTGAATCTCGGAGGACACGATGGTGGCCTGTTGCTCCTGCGAGAGCCTCAACTTCATTGTTGAATTCATCCTGCACGGCCGTGTCTCCATGCCGACGTGTGCTGGTAACGCGCCGAAAATGTCCCCCATCTCGTTCATGTTGCGGACGTTCAGGAAGCGCCGGCCCGCCTCGGGGTCGCCATGGGTCGCGCAACACTCGCCCATTGCCTGCTGACAAAAACGAAGGGCACGCCCAGACGCCGCCAGTCGCGACGAGCGCGCCCCCCGCTCGAGACATCCTCACAATTTGCCCCCTTGGGGCTCTCATGCGCGACGCCTTTTATAGAATATTCCGATGACCCGTTCGAAATACTAACATGAAACTCGGGCCCAACAGGGAGGGGGCTCCCGCCTGAGACTCCCTCGCAATTCACTCACACACGAGGCCCCCGCTCGAGGCATCCTCACGATTTGCCCCTTGGGGCGCTTAAGCGCCATGCCTAATAAGAATTATCTGGTGACCCTTTTTTTGATTGCCAACATAAAATGCGGACCCTCTAGGTGAGAATCCCTTGCATTTCACTCACAGACGAGGCCTCCGCGCGAGACATCTTCATGATTTGTCCCTTTGGGGTGCTGAAATGCGACGTCGGTTTAAATATTCCGATGGCCCGCTCGAATTACAAACGGGAGGTGCGGGCCCCATAGGAAAGGAGGCTCACGCCTGAGATTTCCTCGCAATCAACTCACAGACGAGGCCCTGATCGATGGTCTATCAAGATGAATGCGTGAGTGTGTAAACGAATGCTGGTAATGATGGTGATGGTGATGATGAGGGTGACCGGGTGAGGTCGAGTAATGATGTTGGTGTGGTGTTGATGATGATGATGATGATGATGATGATGATGCTGCTGATGCTGATGCTGATGATGATGATGATGATGATGATGATGATGATGATGATGATGATGATGGCCCGTGGTCATTGTGGGGTGATGGCAGCGGAGATAATGGTAATTGTGGTGATGACGTGATTATTGAGGAAACCCGATATGGGTGCTCAGGGTAATGACGATGGTGATGATGCAAATGGGGATCGTTATTGTGATCGTGGGTGTGACAAGAGGACAGGTGGACAGCAAGGGGGGTAAGGCGCGACTGCGCGAGGGGTGTGCAAAGGCCACAACACCCACAGTCAGGATGCGGGGACAAACAAGGTGCAAGCCCTCCGAGGGCACTTCCATGGGGATAGAACAGTGGGCGCCAGAGCGGGAAATCAGCAGGAGCGGTTCGTCTTCACTCAGAACAATAAATAGAACAACAATCATTATGAGACTTTGTGTTCCTACGCGCTCGCGTGTCATTCCACACGTGTACCACCAGCCCTCGGTGCCCGCCCTCTGCTCCGATCGTACCCGCTTGGGGGTGTATGTTCCGCAGCTTCCACGAGAATTCGGCGCAGCCCCGCAAAGAGCGGATGAGAGGACGGATGGAAGGCTGGGTAGTCGAAGCCAATCTGGCGCCAATCTGGCAGGCCCAATCTGGCAAACGGAGGCAATCTGGCGAGGGAGCCAACGCGAATCCAGTCTGGCGAATAACCCAAATCATCCAGTTTGCCAGGCCAGATTGGCCCTTGGGGCCCAATCCAGTCTGACAGTCTGGCCTTCGACTACCCAGGAAGGGGGAAGGAGAAAAATGGAGCACGAGACACATTAGCAGGAGGGGCGCTGGGAGCAGAAGCCACGTGGCATAACCGGGATGGCACCTCGGGCGGGCAGACGACGGCGGGCGGGCCAGGAAGGCGGGCCCGGGCGGCCAGGTCCCGCAGGCGGGGTGCCGGTGCGCGATCCGGCAGGAGTCGCGAGGAGGTCTCGCGCAAGGGCGCGAGTCGCAAGTACATCGACTGGGTAGTCGAAGCCAATCTGGCGCCAATCTGGCAGGCCCAAGCTGGCAAACGGGGGGCAGTCTGGCGAGGGAGCCAGCGCGAATCCAGTCTGGCGAATAACCCAAATCATCCAGTTTGGCCGGGCCAGATTGGCCCTTGGGGCCCAATCCAGTCTGACAGTCTGGCCTTCGACTACCCAGGAACAGGAGCGTGATTCCTGAGTGTTGAGGGCGCGGCGACTGAACAAATTGTGAGAGCGTCCCACGCGAGAGCGCGACGCCTGCCACAGTTGTGAGGAAGTCCCGCGCGAGAGCTCGATGTCAGAATACCTTGTGAGGAAATCGCAGGCGGGAGCCGTTGTTGTTGTAGCGGCGGGGGAAGCGACACAGTTTGAGTAAGTACGAACAAATTCCCTGTTCAAATAAAACAGGGTGCGAGGCCCGGGAGGAGCACTCTAAGTGAAAAGCAATATGCACCAGTGGGCGGGATCAACAATACATATGTCGAGAAAGAAAAGTGAACAACAACAGCAACATCAACAACACAAACACGAACATCAACAATGACACCAACAACAACAGCATCAACAACAACAAGCACATTGACAACACCAACAAAACAACCACAACAACAACAAAAGGCAATAGCATCAACAGCAACACCAGCACCAACCACAATAGCAACCACATCAATAACATTCATTTTAAGACTGTTCGCTCTTCATCTTCGATCGTCTCCTCTTAGGGGCCCATCTTTGTCACCTGCAGTGTGAATTTCGTGCAGCCCCTCAGGCAGGGGAGCAGAGGATGGGTGAAAGGAAAGGACAAGGGAGAGCGAGAAGGATGGAGCACGAGAGAAAGTAGCAGGAGGGGGGGTAGGAGCAGAAAAACACCAGGCAGAACCGATCAGGCAGATCGGGCGTGTGGACCCTAACGGGCGGGCCGGGAAGGCGGGCCCACGAGGCGTGGTCGAGCAGGCGGGTTGCTGAAGCGTTCGCCCTGCATGAATCGCGAGGAGGTCTCGAGCGATAGCGCGATTTCCAAATAAATCGTGAGAAAAGTTCACAGCGAGAGCGTAATTCCTGAGTGTCGGATCGCGGCGCCTAAACGAGTTGCGAAGAAGTCCCACGCCAGAGCGCGATTCCTGTATACATCGTGAGGGAATTGAGCGCGAGAGCGCGATTTGGGAATACACTGCGAGGAAGTATCAGGCGGGAAACATTGTTGTTGTTGTCATTCGGGGGCCAAGGGCCCAGTCAGTTTGGTGACCCCACACAGTCCCTTGTACAAGGACAGGGTGCGAGCCCCAGCAAGGGCACTTCAATTGAAAAACAGCATGTGCCCTGGAGGGTGGTGATCAACAAAACGTATTCCTCAGCACTGAGAGTCCAACAACAACAGCAGCAGCAACAACACCAACAACAGCAACAAGTACACCACCAATACCAACAATACCAACAGCCACAACAACAATAACAACAGCAGCAACAACAGCAGCAGCAGCAACAACAGCAATCATGTTAAGACTGTTCGCTCTGTTCGCGTGCCATTCACCACGTACATCCAAAACCCTAGATCACCGCCCTCTTCGTCTGGGATCGTGCCCCCTTGGGGGTCCGTCTTTCTCACCTGCAATGTGAATTTCGTGCAGCCCCTCAGGCAGGGGAACAGAGGACGGATGAAAGGAAAGGGCAAGATCCAGTGAGGAGGATGGAGCACGAGAGAAAATAGAAGGGGGGGTAGAAGCAGAAGAAAAAACCTGGCAGAACCAGACGGGCGAATCGGGCGTGTGGACCCTAACGGGCGGGCTGGGAAGGCGGATCCAGGCGGTCGGGTCTAGCAGGCGGGTTGCTGAAGCGTTCGCCGGGCATGAATCGCGAGAAAGTCTCGTGCGATAGCGCGATCTCCACGGGGGCCACGAAAGACAAACGTGCACGGGGTCGCAGACGGCAAGGAAGTGGCCATTGAGGGCAGAAACGGGACCACGAAGGGCAGCGAGGTGGCCGCGAAAGGCGACAGCAAGGCCACGAAGGGTATGCATATGGAGCCACGCCGGGCGCGAACGAGCGGGGGCCACGAAGGGCATACGTATATGGGGCCAGAAAAGGGCGACAGCGGGGCCACTGAGGTCAGCAAAGTGGCCACGAAGGGCAGCGAGGGGGCCACGAAGGGC